AATGGGATAAAATAAAATTTATTAAATAAATAAAAATAATAAAAATTTGAAAAAATGCCTATCGGGTGGTAGCCCAGGCCTGTAATCTCCTCACTCTGGGAGGCTGAAGCAGGAGGATCATAAGTTTGAGCCCAGCTTGGGCAATTTAGCAACTAAGGAAGACCCTATCTCAAAATAAAACAAATTAAAAAGGGGGAGGGATGTAGCTCACTGTGAAAACTCTGAGTATAATCCTCAGTACCACAAAATAAATAAATGAATAAATACCTACTAGGACTATACCTAGGGAAAATACATTTGATATACTATTAAGAAACGTTATTTGGGGCTGGGGATTTAGCTCAGTGGTTCTGCCACCTGCCTTGCAAGCGCAACTTTTGCAATATTGGGTATTGAACCTAGATTTTTTTTTTTTTTTTTGGGTACCCGGGATCGAACTCAGGACCTTATACTAGCCAGACAGGCATGGTGCCACTGAGCTAAATCCCCAGCACTGAACCTAGATTCTTTACACTGAACTACTTGCCAGTCTTTTTTTTTTTTCTTATTTTTGATAAAGGCATGAGTCTAAGTCCTTAAGTTGCCCAAGCTGGGCTAGAATTTATGATCCTTCTGCCTCAGCCTCCCAGAGCATTGTGATGATAGGTGTAGTACACTACCACTGCAAGTCCGAGGCCACCTCGGGCTACATAGTGAGTTCAAGGCCAGCCTGTACTAAAAAGTAAGACCCTGTCTCAAAAATAAGTAAATAAGTAAATAAGTAAGAATTTTAAATGCTGCCAGGCATGGTGGTGGAACACCTGTAACACCAGCACTCTGGAAGGCTGAGGCAGGAGGATGGTAAGTTTGAGGCCAACATGGACAACTTAACAAGACCGTTTCTAAATAAAAAATAAAAATGGGCTGGGAACGTAGCCCAGTGCAAAGTTCATGAGTTCAATCTCCAGTACTGGGGAGAGGAAAAAAGAAGAATTGTAAATGCTGTCACTTTTGTGATATATAAGGGCTTTCATTTTATACCATATATACTTGCAAGCTTCATTTTTTGCAACACACTCATATTAGAAAAGCAAAACTAAAACAAAATACTATACCCTGCCCTAGCCAACTACTACAATGGTCACAGATGCTAAATGTCTGAAGTTTGGATTCCATGAGAAAACGAACCCATCTATTACTTTTCTACCCGTAACGTAAATTTCAGGACACTTATCAGCAATCAGAATAATTAGAAAGGAAAAGGATTTCTTTTTTTATTTGAAGTGCTGAGGATTGAATCCAGGGCCTCATGCATGCCAGGCAAGTGCTCCACCACTGAGCCACACCTCCGCCCATTAAATTTAACATTAACATTAAAGAGGGCTGGCACTGTGCCTGCCTGGCAAGTGCAAGGTCCTGAGTTCGATCCCCTGTACCAAAAAAGTAGAAGAAAAAGAATTAACATTAAAGATAAAGACATGGTCTTATGAGTCCTACATTATATGTATTGTTAAACAAACAATATTAACAATGACATTGCTTAGCAAAACAAAACAGTATAAAACTCTGATACCTTCCTAAAATTCGAAAATAGAACTCACCTTTGCATCTATTTCTTCTGCTTTCTCATTGGCTTCTTGTTCAATGAAAGCCATCATGTGCTTAATCTATAAGAAAAATACTAGTTTTAAATCAAAAAGGGAAGAAAACACGGTATCTATCTTTTCTGATTTATTCAATAATCACCAATGAAGTGTGTATCGTGTGCCAGGGATAAATGAGAGAGTTTCTGCCCTCAGGAAAACTTACAGTTTGGAATTTTTTCTGGCAAATGGGCAAGATGCCATATTTAACAGCACAGATAAACAGCGCCATCTTAACCCTCCAGGAACTGGACTGTTTGGGAGGAATGCTCCTTCAGCCATCACCTCCTCTCTTCCCATCTCTAAGCATGTCCAGAAGCCACCTATAAAGCGGGCATGGTAGCACACGCCTCTTATCTCAGCACTCTGGGAGGCGGAGGCAGAAGGATTCCAAGTTCGAGCCCAACCTTACTTGAGACCCTGTCTCAAATAAAACTTTTAAGGGCTGGGGATGTAGCTTAGGGCACAGTCTTGGGTTCAATCAGTCCTGGCGAGGGCCACCTGTCTTTACTCTGTCAGCTCCCTTACCTTGCACTCTCAACACACCGCCATCTGACTTCTGCTCCCCCTGCTCCACCGGAAGCGCTCTCCTAAGGTGACCATAATCCCCTGGCACAGCCTCACCTGACGTGATGACCAGCTTTCCTTCTTGAATACCTCTTCCCTTAGCTTCTGTGACTTCCTCCCTTCTTCTTCTGGTCTCTTTGGGGCCACACCCTCCTTTCTCTGCCCCCACACAGCTTTCCTGGGAGAGTCTCCTCACAGTAACACACAGCACATTCCACACAGCTGAAGGTCTCTCATCTCTCTACCCACTGTCAACTCCATGCTGGGTGTTAGTCCAACCTCAGTCCTCACAGCCAGTCACCAACTGCGGCTGGGTCTCTTTGTTAATATTTTTTAAACCTGTCCACACCTCTCCATCTTCAGAGCCACTACCCTAGTTGCTGCCATCACCTCTCAGTTACATTATTAAGAGTGTCCAAGTATCTCCCTGCCTCCAGCCTGCTCCCTGACTCATCTACTCTACACTGCAACCAAAGAGCCTTTAAAAATGCTAGGCCGGGTGTGGTGGCCACACCTGTAGTCCCAGAAATCAAGTTTGAGGCAGGAGGATCGCTGTGAGTTTGAAGCCAGCCTAGGCTAAATTCAAGGCTGACTTGAATTACACAGCAAAACCCTGTCTAAAAAACCAAAGAAAAAATAAAACTGCTGGTTTCTCACGCATCACTCCACTCCTCTGAAAATAAAGTCCAGATTTTAGAAGGTACATGATCTGATTTCCGGCATCATATAGAACAAACCCTGTACTACTCAACGCTTCCTTCAGTCCCTTGAGTTTGCCATTCTTTCTTACCTCCATGATTCCAAACTCGCCTCTCCCATGCCCTTCCTCCCCCTTCATCTTCTTAGCGTCTCCGACCTCAGCCTCAGCTTGCCTAACTACCAACTCCCTGCGAAATCTTCCCTCAACCTCTCATTATGTTCACACAGGGCAGGTGATACTTCCGCCACCACAGTGACTTAACTCCTTTCCACAACTAAATTGCCAGGCTAGGAATCTGTTAAACCGTCTTTGGATCATGGCTACAACTGGAGAATGAAGTCTACTGCAGGCTTCTAAATGGAGTTTGGGCCAGGTGTGGTGGTGCATGCCTATAATCCTCACACTTGGGAGGCCAGGAGGATCACTTCGAGTTCAAGACCAGTGTGGGCTACATAGTGAGTTCAAGGTCAGCCTCACCTATATAACAAGACAGAGTCTGAAAAAAAAAGAACAACTTGAGCTGGGGCTGGGGCTCAGTGGCAGAGTGTATGCTAGGCCCTGGGTTCAAGTCCCAGTACCACCACCAAAAAAGTATAACTAGGCCAGGGATTTAGCTCAGTGGCACACCTGCCTCGCAAGCACAAGAACCTGACTTCGATCCCTGGTACCAAAAAAAAAAAAAAAGTAAAACTAAAGATTTCTTTTTTGTTTTGTTTTGTTTTGTTTTTTTGGTACTGCGGGTCAAACTCAGGACCTTGAGCTTTTAAGGCAGGTGGCAGCACCACTGAGCTAAATCCCCGGCCCTCTTTCTTTTTTTTTAAACAGTTTTTCCTTTAAAAAAATTCTTAGCAGCCATGGTACTTTTGTGCAGGTAACACACTATGATAATCAAAATCTATTTCTCAGATTATACAATGCTTACAACAAAATTTTAAGACTTGAAATACTTGGGGTAATTGATTCAGGGGTGTTTAGGGAAAACCACTGATCTGGTTTAAAGATTAGCCCTCACTTAGCGGCCGGGGATTTAGCTCTGTGGTTCCACCGCCTGCCTTGAAAGTGCAAGGTCCTGACTTGAAAGTGCAAGGTCCTGAGTTCGATCCCTGGTACTAAAAAAAAAAAGATTAGCCCTCACTTTCAGGGCATGCCCGAGGTCAGAGGAACAGTGTCTCTACTAGTTCTGCTTTTTGAAGCCAGATAACCCACTCTGTCTGGAATTTTAAGGAAGTCTAACTAGGGCCAGGGCTGTAGCTCAGTGGCAGAGCCCTTGCCCAGTGAGAGGCTGTGGCTGAGGGAGGAAGTGGGATGGTGAGTGGATTTAACTCAACAGTCATCAGATCTGGTGTTTATAAACGCTACAAAGCCTCGGCCTCGAAAGGTGAAGGGATTATAACCTGTACTATCTGCCCCCTCACTCGTGCTCAACTCCCTGCTACCAGGTTTGACTTGATCAGCCCAGCCTAGAGCAAAGGGCACTCACTGTCACTCAAGCCAGAGAAGCCTATTTACAGTCAACCAGGAGTTCCAGACAAAGAATCAACCCGACCCCTTAAAGGACATTTAACTCCACCCGAAGACAGAAAACTCTCACCTTAAAAAAACATTTTTTCCTTTCTAACCCAGTAAATTTTTCTAAAAAATTGTTTTGAGTCAGGTTCCTTCAAAACTTTGATAAAATACCATCCTCTCCAGCTCTCTAAACAGAAAAGTGGAAGAGTGCTAACCTAGCATGTCTGATCCTCAGCACCACAAAATCCAAAAAACAGACAACTCTGCCCCATGGAGTTTACATCTAGCGTACTGGGAAGTACAAGGAGGTTTTTTCATTCCTTCCATTTTACATGAAGTAAAAATGACTTTGATCTTGAGTCTAAGGACATATACTGCTTTACTTCTTTTCTTTTCTTTTTTGGTACTGGGGATCGAACTAGAGACCTTGAGCTTGGGAGGCAGGTGGCAGAACCACTGACCTAAATCCCCAGCCCCATATATTGCTTTACTTCTGGACCACTCTTGTCCTGTAAAAGTCTTTCTCTCAGTATCACAAGGCATGAAGACAAGGAACAAGAGGAAGAAGGGAATTAGTATGATGACTACTAAGAGCATGTGGAGGAGCCACGCATGGTGGTGCACACCTGTAATCCCAGCACTCAGGAGGCTGGGGAAGGAGGATCCCCATGAGTTCAAACCCAGCATGGACTACATAGTGAGTTCAAGACCAGCCTGAATTACAGGGAGAGAGTATTTAAAAAAAAAAAAAAGTGGAAGGCACTGTACTTTGCCACTGTGCCAAGTGTTTCCTATGGTCAAAATCAGTGATAAATGTTCAAAGGAGTCATTTTCTATAAAGGTATTGTAGATCTCTTAAACTTCACAGATGCATTTGTGTCATTCCTACTTCCCCTATTATTTGCACAAATCCAAAAAATACTAACCTCCTCCTCACTCTTCTTAATGCATACTAGATTAAGAATAAAATGAAATGACATTTTTTCAAAGGAATGGAAACACTGAATGAAAGAACATTTTATTGCTCATCTAAGATTCATAAACCAGTGTGCTTTAGTCAGAGAATTTTCCTACTACAGTACTTGGAAAAAAGTAGGCTTAGTTCTCTAAACCTTGCAGATATAAAACTACAGCCTTAAACTTTCCTCTCTGGGAAAACTATTGGCAACAAGACTACTAAATGCAACGACTGTGGTTTCAAGATGTCAATTAGCAAGACAAGTAGAAACCATTTTTTCCTTCTTTATAGATCAAGAGCACTATTCTTCCCTCCCAGAGGTTTTTATGTTATAATATTCCCTTTGTATGTGTGTGTGTGTGTGTGTGTGTGTGGTACGGGGATCGAACTCAGGACCTTGCGCTTGCAAGGCCAGCACACCCCCACTGAGCTAAATACCCGGTCCTAATATTCCCTTTTTTTTGAGAGAGAGGGGGTCTAGCCACATGTTTAGGCTGGCCTCAAACTCCTAGACTCCACCGATCCTCCTGCCTCTGCCTCCTGCATAGCTAGGATTACAGGCGCGCCATCATGTTCCTATTGCCTACAAACCTTAAGGTATGACACATTTTCAAACACTGAACAAGTTAACCCAGGTCTGATTATACACTTTCAAAATCGACGTAATTTCACGGCTTGCATAACAATTATTTTTCCATAGTCTGTGACTCACCTACTTCGTGCCAAACACTGGTAGGTGGTGGGGCTTAGAAATGTAAGAAACAGGGTTTTTGCATTAGACAAACATTAATGTACAAACTAGATTCGTTAGCTTCATTATGATAGAGGAGACTTTCCCAAGATGAAGATTCACAGTTCACAAAATCAGTGACCGGAAGAACACTGGAAGCTGCGCTTAACCTCAGTACGGTTTGTTCCCTATCATACACCGTGAGCCCTTCCTTGGGGCAAAAATGTTAAGTGACAGTGCTGTTTTAGGTCCTCGTGCAGATCCCTGCCAGATTAAGCACAATGAGCTCCCCGGGAAAACAGGGACCGCTGAGGCAGGAGGAAGGCCTGCGAGCCAGCGCTCAGGACTGTGAGCTTCGAGGCAAATCCCCCAGTCAGCAAATCTCCCTCCTGCAGAGGAACCATTAGGACCGGGGACTTGGGTGACCGACTCTGCAGTTCTCCGGCCGCCCAACGCCGGCGCCCTCCCGGAGTCAAACGCCAGCCCACCAGTCCCGGACAGCGCCGCGACCTCAAGACATCCAACCTAGCCGCTCACCTGCTTTTGTACGTCAGCATCGCTGAGGGCCATGGCGAAAGCGACACCTCGCCGGCAGGCGACACCTCGCCGGCAGGCAACACCGGGCAGTAAATAGAAGTGGGAAAAGAAAACTCGGCGCAGTTTTCTGCTTCCTTTACTTTATAGCCAAGGGATCCGGTTCCTGACAAGTGACCACGCTCAGCCAATAGGAAAAGAAAGGGGCCAGGAAGTCCCGCCCTTGCCCCGCCCTTCCCTAGCTGGACTCGGGCGCCAGCGGCTCTCTCGGAATCCGTTCGTATTACAGGCTCGTGACTCGGTTTTTTTTGTGTTTTTTTCTTTTTTTGAGACAGGTTCACTATAGGCTGACCTCCAATTTGCCACCACGCCCCGCTCTTGAACCTGTTGTGGTGAAGAATTCCTGTATCTTTTTTCCCCCTTAAGCCACAAATATTTATTTTTCACAGTTCTGGAGGCCAGAAGCCAAAGTCGAGGTGCCAGGTGATTGGTTCCTGCGGAGGGCTGTCTTCCTGCCTTTGTTTTGGTTTGATTTGGTTCTGGGTTTTTGTTTGTTTTGACATTTTTGCTTTTTTTTTTGGTCTTTGCGCTTGCCCAGCAGGCGGCGAAACCACTGAGCTAAATCCCCGGCCTAACCTTACTTTCTTAGCTTTAATGGAAACAAACTCATTAATAGTTTACTTTTTGTTAATAAAATTTGTGGAAAGCCATGAAGTTTGAACTGGACACCTGCACTGGGCACGACAGGCCAAACCAATGTAGAATTTAATCGCATTAACTAATTTTTGGTTGGTTAAGGAGGCTCCGTAGCACCTGTTGACTAAACTGTAGCCAGTTGTTTTCTATGCCTCACTTCCCTTTTTCTACAAATGCTGTCTGATCATATTGTTGGTCAGAGTTCTCAAAATCTGCTCTGGGAGCTGCCTTATTTTCAAGTGTTTT